TTTATGAAGATCTGTAGTAAAATGATAAAAATTAATAGTTCAGGCGACTAAAATGATGTCCGCAGTTCTGGCGGAGAGCGGAGCAACCAGATTTTACCTGAATATTTTGCGAATTTTATGAGACTCTAGTCATAAAATGACTCGAAACGATACCTTTTTTTGTAAAATACAAAAATATATTTTCAAAATCACGTAGGTAAAAATATGTAGGTGAAATTCTATATTTATTTGTGCATAATATTTAATATTTATTTATATTTGAAAATTATTATAAATCCATGCGTTTCAGATAACATTCCTTTTATTCGGTTGATTATACAGTCAAGAATAATACTTTATCTAAGTAAACCATTTGAAATAGTTCAAGAATAAAAATAATAATAATAATAAACTAATCTAAAATTACTTGAAAAGTGCACTATTGCAAATATATGTTCAGATATTACAAGTAACCATACAAATAAGTATGAATAATATTTATTCTAAGAACAATAAATAACGAACTATTTATTTGTACGTTTCGACACGGTGTGTCACCATTCAGTAATTTTTTTGAATATTTATACAGTATTTAAATACATACTTTATAGAATAATACGGTAACTTTCATGGGTACACATTATTATTCGCTAAATAAAGTAGTTACTTTTATATTCACAATATTATTTAAATTATATTATTAAATGTATATCAATAATGCCTTCAATAATGCAGTAATTCCTTTTTGTAAAAGCTAACATTTCATTTAATGGATAAATCCTGAATCCAGGTATATTCGAACCAAAAATCCCCAAATGAATTTAATCTGATTTTTCCAAAACCCGAAATTCTATAAATTAACCGTTAATACCTTAGATCGCAAAATCCATTTCTTGCGCTGATTTCAATGATATCAGAAAAATATTTTTCTTTTTTTCCTTTAATTAATTAACCAAATTTCTTAATATATTATAAATAAAAATTTGTAATGAATATAGTAAGAACGGCAATGCGATGTGTTATCTATTAAAAAACTTTTTATATACTACAAAAAATTGATTATACGGGAAATGCACACATAAAGTTTTCCACATTTTATTCATATGAATAAAAAATTGATTTTTAATTCGTGTTTTTTCTTTCTAAATAAATATAATATTGAATTTGTTTTAAAAGTTGTCCGTTTTTAATTGCACCTCAAAAAATATGAGTCATTGGTTTGGAATATAATTTCACTTATGAAATTCACATTGCACGACCCTTTCTCGTATTTGCATTATTGTAAATGTAGACGTATATTCCAAGATTAAAGGCCATATTTCAGGTTAAAATTAGGTTCTAATATAATGTAAATCGCGAATAATTTGTTATAACGGCTATTGGTCTACGTTTGAACAATATTTTGAGCTATATATTTGAGACAAAATTCATTCCAAATTCATCTGTTGCAAATGCACAACATTAATTTTATGTGATTAACTTTAATATGATTTTTATATGAAAAATAAATGTTTAAATAAAATGAAAACGATCTAAAATTTGCAACAAAAGTCGATTTTATCTTATTTCACGTTCGAAATATACATACTTTTTTCTCTAATGTTCAAGAAATATGAATGAAATTTGTTTCGATCGCCTGAGACACCGAAAATTTTTACAACTGGACATTTATTGGTCATTTGGTCATAAATTGCTCGGTTGCCTGGTGGCCTAGTGGATGGGTAGCATTATAGACCACTTTGAGAATCACTTTCCTAGTGAAATTCAGAATATATATAAGTCACAAAGTATAAAAGTGTTCTGAGAGCAAACTTATTCAAAATTAAATGATCTGCAACTTTTCCTAATCAAATACTCTACATCGTATTTCCTTACATTCATATAGTAAAGCAAAGATAACTCATTATGTTTTTGTAAAAATAAATTTTACTCATACATCTACCAAAGATGTTATATCAGCCGAATAATATAATTTGAACAATCCAATAAAATATATTTTTCTAATGATTTTTGAAGAGCAATCCGAAAGAACTTGAAAAAAACTGCTCAACTCCGTTGCTCTCTTTTAATCTCTTTTTATCAAAAAAGCAGCAAAACAATTCAATACTGACTTTTTCTATCTTAAAGCAATAAAGATGTCACTTCGAACAGATTTTGTTGACATTCTGGAAGATAAATGAGTATTTGCGACCTATGTGACACGTGTGCAATGACCGGCGGTCATTTTTTACTAGATTTGCGTGAATAACAATACGTAATAAATGATAGAGGAGGTAGAATATC